ACCTCAGAATTATTTCAGGTTGTGCAAACAGGCAGCCGTCACAGCATCAGTTAGTCTCAAATACGTGACCCAAGTGTATCCCGGCAACAATGGCTAGAGACACAAACTTTTTTTAATTAACTGATTCTTAGAGTCCAGAGAACAAGGAAGGAGAGTGGAAGAGGTGCCACTACATCTTAGCCCTGTGTACTAGTTCAATCCACACCTTGCCAGTGTCATTTTCGCTTCTACTACACTATTCTAAGCACTGCCTGCTTTACGTCTATTAGATGACACTGCCAGTGAGGAGCCCAACATCCGAAAAAAAGAGATCACTTCCGAAATGACACAATCAGCCCCTTCACATCAACTGACTGATTGATGCTTCATATCTAGCACCTGCTAAGCCAGAAAGTCAGCGTCCTCAATGCACTCCCAAAAATCAGTCATCAAAGCTATTTAATAGGTCACCAACCAGGACAATGAAACACGTTGGCATTCACTAAGATATACATTCGAAAGATCATAAATCTTTATCAATTTGACAAAGAAAGCTCCATTGTAGGCCTGATCCAAAGCACACTGATGTCAATGAAAATACTCCCTTTAACTACCATGGTTTTGGATTAATCCCTCATTCTACTCCCTGCAGCATTCACCGAGCTCCCATGGAGAGATGCAATTCTCACCATGTCCTAACTGTGAAATAGAACTTTTTAAAATCAAGTTTTAATTAAAAACTTCTGCTATTGAGTGTGTTATATGGCAGCCACCAGAGGAGTGAAAAGTGACACCTGTTTGTGACGGTGATAGAATGGAGGCTCAGGTTTCAGAGTAGCAGTCGTGTTAGTCTGTATCCACAAAAAGAACAGGAGTACTTGTGGCACCTTAGAGACTAACTTTTTTTTTCTCCTGCTGATAATTGCTCATCTTAATTAATTAGCCTCTTAGAGTTGGTAGGACAACTCCCACCTTTTCATGTTCTCTGTATGTGTATATGTATCTCCTTACTATACGTTCCATTCTATGCATCCGATGAAGTGGGCTGTAGCCCACAAAAGCTTATGCTCAAATACATGGAGGCTCAGTATCAGAGACAGCAAGTGAGATTCCATCCAGCTTTATTGGGGATTTAAAAAACAAAAGGACATCTGTAGCTCCTTGATATGTACCAACAAATTCAAACAGCAGACTTCTTATTCAAATTATTTAAAATGTTTTTCACTGCACTTTAACAGTGGTTTGCCATCTCTCATTGATTTCCACTAACACCAGCATCCCAAGATAATGACTGGCAGCAGGAGATCCACAAGTGCTAATATTAGCACAAGTTAATTTTAAAACTAAGTTTCAGAGTTTATAAGTAGCAAGAAGCACTTCCCATCATGTGAGTTTTCAGTGTGTCGAGTAGAAAAGGCTGGGTACAGAATAGAGTATCACCATTAACTGTCCAACAGAAACCCAGACTTTGTGGTATCTCGACACAACCTGTGGCAGAATTTAACTCAGAAAAGAGACACGAGTTTTTACACTGCTGACCACCTTGGTCACAAGTAAGAATCTAGTGTCAAACTAGAAAGGAGGTGGTGGTTGGTTCTCAGATCCAGATTTTCGTGGGGCTCAGGTTCAGTTAGGTACCATAAAACAACGCTAGCTATTCTCCCCAGATCTCTACCCCCTTGGGCCTAAATCCTATGAGAATGCCTGTTTTTGAGAGATTCTCAATGCAGCTGAACAATTAGCAGAAAATAGGCCCCTCCTGGAATGGTAAGATGGGTTTGGATCTGAGCTCACCAACAACAAATGAAAAGAACTGGATCGGGCCCATGCCAACAACAAATGAAGGAACCACCATCATCACTTGCCTCAGGCAACCAGGTACAGATCCCAAACCCCTTTTTAGAGCAGTAGTTGCATAGTGCTGAGCAGCTTCGTGTGGTAAGGCTTTTGACACAGTCTCACAGGACATTTTCATAAGCAAACTAGGGAAATGTGGTCTACATTAAATTACTGTAAGGTGGGTACACAACTACTTGAATGCCCATGCTCAAACAATAGTTATCAATGGTTCACTGTCAAACTGGAAGGGGGAATCTTGTGGGATCCTGCAGGGGTCAGTCCTGGGACTAGTACTATTCAATATTTTCATTAATTACTTGGATAATGCAGCGGAAAGCATGTTTATAAAATTTGCAGAGGACACCAAGTTGGGAGAGGTTGCAAATACTTTGGAGGACAGGATTAGAATTCAAAATGACCTTGACAAATTGGAGAATTGGTCTGAATTCAACAAGATTAAATTCAATAAAGATAAATGCAAAGTACTTCGCTTAGGGAGGAAAAATCTAACGCATAACTACAAAATGGGGAATAACTAGCTAGGTGGTGGCACTACTGAAAAGCATCTGTGGGTTATAGTGGATCACAAATCGAACATGAGTCAACAACGTGATGCAGTTGCGAAAAAGGCTAATATTCTGGGGGGTATTAACAGAAGCGTTGTACATAAGACGCAGGAGGTAACCCGCTCTATTCGTTACTGGTGCAGCCTCAGCTGGAGTACTGTGTCCAATTCTGGGCACAACACTTTGTCTACATCTTTCCTACACTGGAGAGAGTCCAGAGCAGAGCAACTAAGGTGGTAAAAGGTTTAGAAAACCTGACCTATGAGGAAATGTTAAAAAAAACTGGCCACATTTAGTCTTGAGAAACGAAGACTGAAGGGAGACTGATAACAGCCTTCAAATACGTTAAGGACTGTTATAAAGAGGACAGTGATCATCTGTTTTCCATTTTTAAGAACAGGTTAGATAAACCATGTCAGGGACGTGGTCCTGCCTCAGCGCAGGAGGCTGGATTTGATGACCTCTCAAGGTCCTTTCCAGGCCTACATTTCTATGATTTCTACAAAGGATCAAGGGTAAAATTTTCAAAAATGTTTACAAGACTTTGGAGCCTAAATCCCATTGACTTTCAATGAGACTCTGACTTCTAAGTCCTTGTTGAAAATAGTACTTGGCTTTTAAGTCATTTTGGAGCTTTTGAAAATGCAGCTAGTATCTCCATCAGAACAGAGGCCAGACCAAAGAATGCCACCAACTTACTGAATTACTAACACTACAAAGGTGTTTTTTGGAGGTCTCCCATTCAACTACTGACTAGGCCAAACTATGTCTTTTTACAAGATGTGATGGGATCACCACCAGAGGTGGTGTGGTTTGATTTTCCCTTTTATAACCTCAAAAATATACCAATGACAAAAACATGCAAGTCTAAATGTTGCAAAACACACAAAAACAAGAAAATCTCAAAAACAACACAACCCCCTCAAACAACCCCTCCTGAAAATCACCATTACCACCAAACAAAACAGAAAAAAAGCCACACTGCTATATAGTTCATTTTATTCTCCTTCTTCCCCACACCCATCATTATGATGTTTAATATTGAAGGATCAAATTTTGCACTGTCATTAGAGGCTGCAACTCCACTGATGTCAAAGGAGTTATGCCATTGCTGACCTATGTGTTGAGAGCGCGCAAGTGTCACATTTTTTGGTCTGCCCTAAAACAGCGGGTCTCCTTTCCAAGAAACCTTGTTAAGCGCTAAATTAAGAACTACATTCCGTTGCAGCTACCATCAGAAATCCATATGAAGTCCCTACTACCTCTTTGGCAGAAGCCTATATTCAACTGTTAGTAAAACCCAAAAGAGAACATGTAATAAATACAGTCTATTGCATCATGTTTAAAGTGGTTCTTCAATCTGTCACATCTACGTGCATTCCTATTAATCCTTTCTTGGGTTTGCTAACAACTACATATCAAGTGACTAGTTTGATGAATGGAATATTTTTATAACCAAAAGTCTGTGGAATCCTAAATGATGCAAGAGACTAGGTGAATGGACAGTACTGATAGCTATATTGTGTAATCACTGCAATGAGCTGAGGCAACAAAAATGTAGAGTAAGCCATCTCTGGTGCGTAATTTAAGAAACTACAGAATGTTTTATTTCACAAGCGCCATTTCTGATTTAGTAGGACATGCAGCCGATTAAAAAACAGCTGGATTTAAAAGGTTAAGGTAAAAGATGCAGGAAACAATATGGGTGTTTACCCCACAGTGAAGTCTATTCAAAGACCTGGGTAGATTTAGAACTAAACTCCTGCCTCTTTTTTATGTGATTTAACAATTACCCATGTTGTTAACAACCATTAAACTAGGTAATAAATATAAAGGGCTGCGCTTCTGATTGGTAACTTCTATAAATAGCACATGAACGCCTGAGACATCTACTAAAAGCCTGTGACTTTTAATTTAAAGAGGAACCGCAGTCTTAATGGTGATAATGGAAATTAACAGAAATTAAAAGCAGCGTGTTGTATTTCTTTAAACCTCTTCAAAGCTTTTAGCTAAGATGGCTAATAGACCTGTTGCTACCAGAAGAAAACCCATTACAATTAGAGAACTATAATGTCATAAATACTGTTTCATAATGTATTTTAACAGTTTTCTTCATAAAGCAAGAGAGTATATCAAATATATAATCACACAAACACCCACTCTTACATGTCTCTCATTGATTGGCTTGGGCTTACCTGATAAGCTTCAAAGCTTGTCTCTTTCACCAACAGTAGTTGGCCCAATACAAGATATTACCTCATCCCCTTTGTGTCTCTAACATCCTGGGACCCACACAGCTACATCACCACCACTGCATAGTGATGGGATGGAAGCCGCATGCCGAGCTGCCTCCCATACCAGAGAATTTCCTTTGAAATGCTAACATCTCAAAGAATGCTCATCACACCTGCAACATACTGAGGTTGTGAGAGCACCCACCAGCTACAGGGTTAATGGTTGAAAGAGAGATTGGAGAAACAATACATCAGGTGAAAAAAAATTCAAGCTGAGACATAAAAGCATGAAAAACAAACAGAAAAAAAAACACCTCTTGATTTCTATTGATGTTCAATATACAAGGAAAAGAGAAGCCAGGGATATAATGCATGGTCTTACCTCTATGCATTATCTTATGTTTTTCTCTCAAATACGTGAGACCTTTTATTACCTAGAGAAAAGAAAATTCAACATTTCAAAGCTGTAAAACTAGTAAAAATGAAAACATGAGTTTCGTCCAAGCAAGAATTTCAAAATGTCATCTACAATCAAAAGCACAATACACCCTGGCAAGAATTCAAAGAGAAAATAAAAGGCAGTCATGTTAAAATTTATACTCCAATTTGCCCATAAAAGAGAATAATGTTAACCAAACAACCACCAGAAATGTCATGGACACAACCTACTGCAGTACAGACACTTAAAGGGTAACATTCAAAACATTTAATAGACCATTTTAATTATTTTGCTGGTTCTTTTCCCACCCAGTGGTAGTAACAGCAGCTGACATCCCTTAGTGGAAAATCAAAGCAAACACACACAATGGAATATGTGTGATCCATCCAAATGCCCTTAGTTACAAAGTGGTGACATGTATTAAAAAAAAAAAAAACAAAAAAACCCTCTCTCTTTAAAAAAAAAAAAAAAGAAAAACCACTTTAAAGCCTAGTAATATTTGCCTGTCCCACTTAAATTTTCCTCAATCCCCCAAACCGGCTGCTTTTGCCTTCTGGATCTGGCACTATCCTAACATAATATGGAGACATCTGGTCCCTGCTTCCCAGAGTACATTACAAATATACTTACAGCAATGCTAACTTTGCCCAAAATCTGCTCTGGAATTCTTCCAGCTTTTTTCAGTACTTGATCCAAGGACCCGCCATCCTAATAATAAGTGTTTGAATATTAAAACATTAATCATATTTATCCAAAACATTTTAAAGCCTACAGTCTGTGAGGAAAAAAAATCTTATAATTTTGAAGGCAGACAATGTGCTGTTTCCCATTGCTTGTGATGAAATAAACTATCCTTTTTGCTTTATATTGCAGTGGTGAGTATCAGGGAAAAAAGTGTAACTGGTCATTAGAAAAGGTTAATCAGTTTTATACTAATCAGTTTAAACAACCTGAGACCTGGCAACCAGTGAGGTGGACCCTTGCGTCATTTAATGGTCTTCTGGCCTTGTATGATTCCACGATGCACAGGCTGATTCTTCTTACTAAGGAGGCCTTGTCCATGACCAGCAGGACAAAGCACTAGGAGCGCAGTAAGCTTTCTGCAGTCTACACTTGTATTTAGATGCATTTTAACTGTTCTCTGCATGTCCATGGGGTGCCACTGTCTCTCTTTTAGATGCTCAGGATTTGGGCAGAATGGAAGGTTTATATCTTGTGATCTGTGATGGTCTGAGTTGATCTTTGGGATAAAGGCAAGACCAGACCACAAAATCATTTTATCTGGATGGGAAATACAGTAGTCTAGTTAGATGGACAATCTTCCTGTCTATTATGTATATTCCAGTAGCACGCAGTGGCTCTAAGCAGGATCAGGATCCCATTATGCTATGTACGGTGCGCAGAGATTGACATCTTTGAAAATTTATAATCTAAGACAAGGAACATAGGGAAGGCAACAACCATATACTGTTTTTTCATACACTGTCTGTATATGTTTTGATTCTGTAATTCTATTTCCTGAACACTCTGAGTAGACAGTATAGCAATTATGAAAGACACCTGAAGACCAACCTCAGAGGTTAACGGGAGGTTCTGAAGAACTTTGAGCACTAGATAGGGAATCATTTAACTATTTATCAGCTCCACTGCACTCAGAAATCAGGTAATGTCAACCTGTCTCTTTTGCAACAAATAACACTAGCATGTTCCCTGGAACCCCACTGATAGCCAGTACCGTATGAACTCTAGACAGTATTTATGGTAACTGAAGATGCCAATATGTCATGCAGACACAGGGGACAGGCTATGACTCACCAATAGGAAAAAAATAGAAATTTTTTTTTTTCAAATTTCACATTGAGTAACTACTCCACTCATTTTACCAGAATTAAATAAGTTACTAACACATGCACTTGCACCCTTTCAAATTCAAGCAACTCTGTTGCTAAGAGCTTCAGAGAAGAAAAGCTGCATAAATGATACTTATTTTTAGCAACCGATTATGATCAAATTCAACAGTAGCCTTGTGCAGATTTTCTAGAACAGAGACTACATAACAAAAACAGAACTTCTAAATTTTATTTCTTTAAACAAAAACAAGATCCAATTACATGGCTGATGATTTGCAATATTCCAGAGTTCTTGAAATCATACCCCCAGGCATGGGATAATATTTTTCTGGCTCCTTTTACAAAACTCAGCAGTCCGAAGCACTCTGTCACTTTTCATACCTCTAAAGAGAACCATATACACCTCTACCCTGATATAACGCTGTCCTCAGGAGCCAAAAAATCGTACCGCGTTATAGGTGAAACCGTGTTATATCGAACTTGCTTTGATCCTCCGGAGTGTGCAGCCCCGCCCCCCTGGAGCGCTGCTTTACCGCGTTATATCCGAATTAATGTTATATCGGGTCGCGTTATATCGGGGTAGAAGTGTAGTATGCAAGCACAATGCAAGCTTTTATCATTCAAAGGAGTGCATCCCAACGTTCCCAGGGGAAAGATTTTAAAAAGTGCATATGAGCCTGTGTTAAATGTTGTCCTCACATTCATGTAATCAAATATGAATTCAGGCAAAATAAATAAGAGTGCCAATGGAAAATATGTAAAATACATACATTATATAATATGTAGAAAAAACATGCAGTCCTTTTTTCTCAGAAACTGATTCATCAGACAGAAGGATTCACTCTCCAAAGCAATCAATAGACCTTTGAATCAGTCCCCAGTCCTGCAAGGTGCTGATACCTTCAATTGCCTTGAAAGTCTAGGTGCTCAGCAGCTTTTAAGAGCAGACCCCAAATATTTTGCTTATCAAGCACTTGTTGCTAGTTGAAGTTAAGATTCACTTCTGATATTTTCAGCTGGACAAGGACAATAATTTAAATCCCCACTTAATCTGCATTGATAGGATTTTCTTTGTTCCTGACATATTTAAAGAATTCCTTCTTATTGTTCTTACTCCTACTGACTGATAACGTTAGCTTCCCTTATCAATTGTCTGCATTTCCTAACTGCTGTATTTGTATTCATTGCTATCAGCTTCTCCATTTGTATGTGTAATACACACTCACACACGGCATGCACTTATTTCACCTCCCCTCTTAACCAAGATGGCTTTTAACCAAAAGAAGTCTTCTTTCATGATTGCAGAATTGTGTTTTTTGGGCATCTAGCAAAGCATTTTTAATACAATTACCAATCATCATTCCTGTTTTTATGTTTAAGCATTTCCACCCACTCAGTTTTCCTCGTGATTGGTTTCAGCTCTGGGGAATTGGCCTCTTTAAAGCATCAAGTATATATATTATTGGATAGCACCATATTCTGTTTGCACATAATAAAATAAATTAGATCACATGCACCTAAGCAACCATACGTTTTCCCTAAAGATTTCCTTTAAAGAAGGTCAAGGCAACATTAATTAACACTATGTAATATCCCCAGAAAATAAAGAGACCTTCTTTTTATAAACACCATTTTATTTGCTAGAAAATGTGGTTCTTTGAACAGAAATTGTTCAAAGCCTCCTCTGCCTGATGAACGAGGGAGAGATTTGAATAACCTTTAATCACAGAAAAATTGCTCTAAACATTGGGCTCCATATGGCTTAGAGAAATGCTGGCAGATGGCTAGAATAATCTGTACTTTTCTATTAAAAATGAAAAAGTTAAAAAAAAAAAATGATGTCGGTATGAAACAACCATTGTTTATGGTGCTTCTGGTCTTGCTAGTTTCCTCTGTAATTCCTCTAAGAATTCAGAAAGAATGGGCAGGGCAGATACCATTTCAGAGAGAACAGAGGGAATGCATCTACACTCGAAAAATTAAATACCTATATTTACAGCAGCTGCACCACTGGCATTACAGTTCAGGTATTTTTAACATTGGGTCAAAAAAATCCAGCTCAGAACAGGTTTTCAAGTGGTAAAAACATCTGAGCCCTTTTTACATTGGTGGTCACACTGATGCTGGCAGTTGCTGTAAAAGGAGATTATTTTTTCCCTCATACTCCGCAACAGTAACGCCTCTGACTGATTAAACAGCATGTTGACTGGCTGTAAGAATGGTCGCTATAATGTGGATTCGAAAAGACTAGGGATAAAGGAGAAGAAAATAGGGACTTTTGTAGGGCTATGACAGATACAGAGGATCAGTCTCTGGAAAGGGCGTAAAAACATAACCATGCTAAATCCAAAGTCCTCAGATTTGCATGGTAGAGCTGTACTCCAATATTCCACTCGCCATACATGCATAAAGGGCTGCCATGTTAACAGAGGTTCTATGAATATATGCAGAATACGGTATCTATTGGATTTTATATTCACAGGAGTTTGATACCAAAATTTAGATTAACACACACAGATAGACATGTACTTACCATGTGTTCCATGCAAATGCTGATCACTCCATCACTGTCAAAACCTCCATCCACCCCCAGAATGTATCGAGA